CAAAGGTGTTAAAAGTCTATTTTTTAATCACTAACAGTAATATTTTACCATGTACATAGTATAATTTTTCAGCGAAGTGTGGTCAAGTACATAGCTTCGTCCTTGGTTTCTTCCCATCTGCCTAATGCTTGGTTGGGCAGAGTTACCCAGCAGCAGTGTTGGTGTGAGATACCAAGTACTTGGTGGAATAGTCGAGATGCACACAAGTTGCTAAGACACTGTCATTAAAAAAAAGCTGTTACTAGAGGCCTCCTTTAGTCTCTTTATAAAATTCATCATTTGATAATTATTTTTCTTTTCCCTTAATTTATTTTCAAATGCAGAGTTGGTAGTATGGTCTGATTAACCCCATAAGTTATATCCTATAGATTGTGCCTCTCCATTTTTTTCCTTGTTGGGTCACTGAAATTTTGTAAAGTATGCACTTACTCGACTATATTTAATTGCATATAAAGTTGGAGTTGATGTGTTCTATTGCTAAGAGCAGAAAAGGGAATTGATGTAGGACTTTATTGGATGCATTTGGTAGATGGACTATGATGTGTCCTTATAACTGTACTGTAACTTTTGCGATTAATATGGAGATTCTATTGATTAATTCGACTTGGTAATTCTTTGTCGTTTGGCTTTCATAATTTAGCACTGGTATTGCCGTGTGTAGATTTCTAACTCCTAGTTAATGCAATAAGTTCTACGACATGCTTCTTATATTTAGTGCATAAATCCTCTATGCCGATGCATTTCTTGATGGTAAAATATATATCACCCCAGCTGGAGTTAATTTGAGATGTCTAAGAAGTTTATGGATAATATGAATGTTATGGCGTTTCGGCCTTAGAACTCTTTGAAGGTATCAAGGCCCTTTTACAGAGATTGAGGTCATAGTGGTTTATGAACTTCTTAACAGAGGATGGCTATGATGCCAGTTTCCAAATATTTGGCTGTTACCCTTCATCTATTTATGTGAAATAAATGCGGGGAGGCGGTAGGTGAAGGAAAATTTGAGAAGAGAAAATGGATTATGAGAGAGTGACTTTAGCTACTGACTGGCCCCTATAGATCTAAACCTGTTACTTGGGAATTCACATATGTATATTGTTCCAATCACTGAGCGAGCCCTATGATCAGATCCTTGTCATGTATCAAAGAACAATCCTTTTATCACGTACCTCGATTTATGCAACTCAGATGCTCTGGATCAGCTTTGATATGAACTGCAGTTCATGCAAGAAAATAGAAGGGGAAATCTGGTGGTGTCTTTTTGTTTGGTTGCATATTGGGATTTGGAAGACATGGAGAATTTGACCATGCTTAGATTACTTAGTTTAACTTGTAGAATAAAATTTTAGGGAACTAGCTCCTTTTAAGCGCATAAGATCACGTGATTTCCATCAAATAAGGTTTTAAAGAAGTAAATAAGAAGGATCAAAAAGAATTTCCGAATAGTCTTACTTCAGGAACTCCAATGTGCATGCTTAACAATATACATACATTAATATATCAGGGAGTATTCTCATGTTTGTCCAATTATTTACGTTTTCTTGTTTCCCTTTTTATGTCTAACCATCAGCAGGAGAAGGGTCAACCATTGCCTAAGTTTGGTGAGTGGGATGTCAATGACCCAGCTTCAGCAGAGGGATTCACGGTGATCTTCAACAAGGCCCGAAATGAGAAAAAAACAGGTGGCAATCCAGAATCACCTTCAAAGGCTGATTCCAATACAAAGCAAGCAGCAGACCCGTTCAAACCTCAAGCTGTAAGTTGATCTTATAACTCAATGTGAACTTTTTTACCACTATGATCTTCTTTTTCCTCCTCTCTCTTTTACCACTTATTTTATTTTATGTATTCCTAACCAAATATCTTCACACAATTAAAACTGAGATAATTTTTGTTGTTATAGCATACATCTTCATATAAAGAGTTTTTGCGTATAAAACATAAGATTTCTATTATCAAAGAGGTGAAATACCATAGCCGCTCCATCATCCCCCACCCCTCCCCACCCCAACCGAAGAAAAAAATAAAGAATAAAGGAGAAGAAAGAATGGCCGGAGTGTTATCCAATGTCCAAGCTTAAGCCGCTTTTAGGCTATCTTTAGTAGCATCTGTCTATGATACTATTGTCCTGATTTGGTGTGTTCTTCATGAAACATTTTTCAAAATAAATTGTCAATCACATTGTAATCAAGTAGTCAATATTACTTGAAAGATCAGCGAAAGAGTTTGATCGCGAATGAGCTGAAATTAGGAGAAAATTGAGAGATTAAACTTCATAAAACAACAACCCAGTATAATCCCACTAGTGGGGTCTGGGGAGGGTAGTGTGTACGCAGACCTTACCCCTACCCTGGGGTAGAGAGGCTGTTTCTGATAGACCATCGGCTCCCTCCATCCAAGAACTCCCCACCTTGCTCTTGGGGTGACTCGAACTCACAACCTCTTGGTTGGAAGTTAAGGGTGCTCACCACTAGAGCAACCTACTCTTGTCTAAAAATGATCCAAAATATTTTTAGTGTATATATAGGGTCAATAGGATAGTCGCATACTTCATATAGGGTGGAGGAACTGCATTGTTGCCCAAGCATAATCCATCGAAGCTGGCTAACCTTCATACAAAGCGCCTAATCAAATTTATAAAAACCTCAATGGAGTTGAGGGTCTAAACTGGGATGATCAACGATAAAATAAGCTTAAGCCAATGTAGGGACTCGACTCGGAAATCGTTCTAGGTCTAGGTAGTGAACTTCTCCAGCGAGAAATTCACTAGTTTGCATGAACGCCCCATGGCATGTTATTCTGATAACTGAGAAATCGTTGTTTTCTAGCTTCGAAACTCGGATAATGGGCCACAAAACATTTTCTCTTATGTGTTTAACTATAGTTTATGTAAAATGTTCTATAAATAATAATTGGTGATATAAAATATTCATAAAGAGATTACTCCATTTTTGTAAATATTTCTTGTGATTTCTTATACAATATTTCATATTTTAATATATTTGAAAACTTTATTTATGATATTTAAAGCTAAATACAATTTTGTGGTGCCTGTGTCCTGTCTTTTCTGTCTAACACTCCACTCATAGGTAAAACTCTTGCTCCTAATAAAATAGTCTTCATAAACACCACACTGTGTTGGCTTCTTAAATTTTGATAAATGGAGAAAGAATAAAGATTTCTTTCCTGTTAGACAAAGCATAAAATTTGTAATTTACTTATTGCATACTTTCGTCTAACTAAGTTGAATAGAAAATTAATTAGAAAAACTTTGTTTCTAAGTTGGGCATGGGTTCTTCTGGATGTGAGCATCTATAACAAGTGAAGGACTGTACATGGGATCTTATACCCTGGTGCTGAAAACGGGTCTTTTTACTCCTTTTGTTTTGACTTCTCTTGAATGGAACTTTCTATTTTAAGTTTGGAGTTAATTGTCAGGTAAGTTTGGTGTTTTAGCTTGTACTTGGGACAAATAACTAGAGAATTTGAAGAATTCCACCCGGTAGTAACTTCCATTTGGGTGGTTTTTTTTTTTTTTTTTGGGTTTGGG